CAAGATAAGCAACATGGCTGGAAAGGACAGGAATGACAAGGGGCAGGATGCTTACTCTTCCTTCGTCTCCTCGTCTGTCGGTTTCCTTTTCCTCCTTGGGCTGAGGGACGAGAAGTCGAAGGCGACGTCCGTGTTTGCGCTTGCCGGAGGAGGAGAAGGCGATGGAGTCAGGTAGCATTTGGATGAAGAAGAGGTAGTCTCCCTCTTCTTCGCCACCGCGGCCTTCTTCTTTGCCTCCGCGACCCTCATCACGCGCGCGGTTCCCGCCGGCGCCAGTTTCCGCGGCTCGCCCCTGCCGCGTCAGACCGGCTCACCAAAGCTGGCCCGGCGCAGGGTGCGTCCTTTGTTCGTGGCCAAGGGGTCGCTGGCCTCGGCCTCCTCCTCGGATGACTCCTCAACCGCATCCCCAGCAAGGGGGGCCTCGGTGCTATCGTTGCTCGCCTCCTTAGCGGCCTTCACCCACTGGGCGAGTTCCCTCTCCTCGGCGGCCACGGCGGCCTCGTTCTCCATGCTGCCGGCATCGTCGGCCAAGCTAGAAAGCTCCGCCTCCGCCGCCCTGGCGGCGATGTAGTTCAGCTCCTCCTGGGTGGTGTCCTGGATGAGCACCATCTCATCATGAGCAAGTTCTTTGACCAGGTTGTCGAAGAACTCCTCCACCTCGCGTGCCGGGGGCTCAACCCAAGTTGGGTCGAGACCATGCGCATTGAACACCGCCATCATGGCGAGGATGTCGGCCCGCCGGGTGCTGTTGCTCAGTGGGACCACCCCCGACGACAGCCCGAACAAGGGACCCTTGATGGCCTTGTCGAACTTCGCGGCCTTGCCGGTCCTCTCCACCTTGCCACCGGCGAACACGTCGAGCTGGAAGAGTAGCCGGCAGTACCAGGAGTGTCCCATCACCGTGAGGTTGTGCTTCAGGATGGTGAGGAGCCTCATGATGTCGGCCGCGTTTCGGAAATCCCAGGCTGGCCTCCCCTTGTTGTGCAGCGGAGTGATTCGGCGGCGGATGAAATCCGCCGCAATCATCTCAAGGGTAAGCCCGGACTCGGTGAGGCGGTGGATCCTGGTGGCGGCGATCGAGAATTTTGCATCGTCAGCATCGAGGTTGCCCCAAGCCGCATTGCGGATCAGCGGCTCCTGACGAACACTCCGGCAGAACTCCGGTGGGTCCTTCTCTGAAATCCAGCACCACCGGGCCCGCCACTCATCCCACCTCTCCTTCACGGCACCCTCTGGGTACGCGCCCTTCTCCTGGGTCCTCGGGATCCAGGCGACGCTCCCAGAAAGAGAGCCCCTAGGCTAGACGCGGGGTAGAAGTAGTGGTGGAAAAGTGTCATGCTGGGAACCACCCCGGCGAAGCCCTCGCAGAGGTGGGCTAAGCACGCCACGGCGTTCGGCGTGAGGTCCAACAGGTAGAAGCTAAAAGTGTGCATGATATCGTTGAAGAAATCAGAAAAAGGGGGGCAGAGCCTGCAGTAGAAGAATTCGATGAAGAAGGGGTACCGTTTTCGGCCACCCTTGTTGCAAT